TCTTTGACGTGTGTACAAAACCAGGAAATTTTCAACTCATTTATCTGTACAACCTACCAAAAAAAAAACCAATCAAATCATTATGATCTAGCATAAAATAGTTTTGATCATTCTCAAGATCTTATTACTGACTGTTAGATTCCAATAATTTGATCTGACCTTTTTTGTAACGTTTTATATGTTACCAGTTACTACTAGTTCGACTAGAAAATAACCAAAAACAAAAATATATTTTACATGATCTTTAATCTAAGGGGTTGTACATAATTCAACATAGTACCTTTTAATTAGAAAAAAAAAAAACATTTGAGCTCTTATTGCCGATGTTGTAGTCGCGGTTAGACATAAGCCTAAAATGTTCACTACACTTTAGAAACATGACGCACCAAATGCATCTGCCAATGTGCTCATTATAATTCTCGTGAAATTGAAAAACACTAAAACAATAACACCACCAATGTGATCATACCAATCCACATTCTCACAACTAAACCAAAGCCTGTTTTGAAACCATATTTTCAAAAGATATGAAAAACGTTTTGTCGAGCTCTAGGACTGCAAATCAGAGACAACACGAAACATAGAAACCGAAGCCTGTAAACTACACTCAATATACCAGAGAAAATTGACTGTAAAGACCACTTTAGCAAAAAGCTCTGATAAATACGCTTCATTATTTATATAACATATTAAAGTTAACCACATTTTAGGCATCTATGGTGGAAAAATGTGATCAAAGTATAGAAGTTCTAGAATGTTCAACACAACCGAATCCGGTTCGGATAAACCGATTCTCTATTAGAACCAATATTATTCTAGATTTTTTTTTTGGCAATTATAATTTCATGAAAGCCCAAAGGGCAATATACATGTGGAAACAAAAGTCCAATAATATTGACTTTTTTAGCCCAGACGTTTGTCCCATTAAACAAATGAGATAACATAGAAAAAAGATCGTCGGAATAAATCTTCCCTGCCTAACTCCACCGTGACAGAGCATCCTCCGTCCATCGAACCCAGCAAAATGGACGCCGATTTTTTTTAGATTCGGTCCTTTCTCTTTTATTTCCACACGAGTTTCCATAGTATAACAGATCCCATGAGAAATCACTCGGTTTTTTCTTCAAACTCGTTCAAAGAATCAGAAAGCTATTTTACAAACAAGCAAAACATATCCGAAAAGATCAAAAATATAGCCGGATTTCGCTGGAGAAACCTAATCCGATTGAGATCGGAAACTGATATATTAACAGAACACCAAAGATAAAAGAAAGGAAGATTATTTACAATTAAAAAAGCACGACGCCGGCAACGAGACTCAATCGATCGGTGTCTACAAAGAAAGATAACGAGTTTCTAGAGAAAGAAGTATAAAGCGTACCTTATTCTAGATAATTCCGAAACTAATTGATTTAAAAA